AAATGAAAATTGAAGATGGGACTACGGAGCGATGTAATGCCCGACTAGTGTTGTATTGTTGATATAAATGAACCACATCAAATTAATGCTGCACCGAACTGTGTTCATTTATGAATTAATGAATCAGTGAGTAGAGCAACAGATAAATCAGTAAAGTGCGAGTGAATGAATAAATTTAATATATAAATAAAAAATCTGTGTTGCGTTACATAAAGCATAGTACATACCATGAGTGGCCATTTTTAAGTTTTTGATTAGTCAAGATGTTAATTTGCATTATTTGGCTTCAGTCAATTTCATTTAAGTGCGTTAGTTATTAAGTCAGCGAAAAGTTAATTGCAATTGTTCAACTTGCTCTGAATTTTTCTTCAGTCTGATGGTTTGAAGTATATGGTTTTCACGATCACATGACAAGATTTTTCGTCAGGTACCTCGGTAAGTGTAATTACATCAGTTAGCTGACCAATGAAATTCTTTTTTCAAAAATCATAGGCTGTGTGATAAAGTAAACAAAATTCCACTGTCGACTGGAACCCCTCTTCAGGCAGGTGAGCAGACAAGCACAAAGTCTGTATCCAGCCTGACCTGATTGAACATGCCAGTTTCATGTAAGGGGGGTATGAATTGTTCCTAGCGCTCCATGTTTTCAACAGTTTACGCATTACCCAGAGATGCGGGTATGATAGAAAGAAAGTCATCAGATTCGAGTTCACCCGGATGAATCAACGACGGTCAGCGAGGAGTCCATGAAGATCTAACAAACGGCAGAAAAATGTAGAGGAGGTTGATTCGATTACCACTGTTAAAGGCTGTTAAAGGGAGCATGCTAGGAAAGAGAAGAAGAAAGACCACTCAACGACAGTGACGTTTCGACACTGTTATGTCCACACCCGCGAACCGAACATAAATGAGCTCCCATCCGCATTTAATCCGACTGAACGAGATTTCTGATTTTCAGGCTGAAGTTGTGATCTGAGGAACGAAATAGGAAGATTAACAACTTCGGCCATTAACTTGGCCGGTAACCGAGTACCTCGGTCTTAACGCCACTCAAATGATGTACATACTAGCAGCAGTTTCATTACCTTAGTTTCCGCAGTTTACGCCGCAGAGCCTAAGCAGCGCGCAAGAACCTTTGTACTGTTAAAGGACGTCGATGAGGAACGAGGGATTTTCTAAAGGCGTGACTGTTCCTCTATTTGCGTTATCTCTATGCCTTATGGCAGGCATTCAAACGGCCAATGAACAGGCACATCTTGTTGGGAAACGACGTGGTCAGTATCCGTATAACGGCAGCTGTGTTTTCCTGTAGACGCACCACGGCCTTGGCGATTGGCCGGTCGCAGTCCATGACGATGATCTCTATGATCCCGTCTGAACTCATCCACACGTCGAAGCACTGCTTCTATTTAAGCAAGAAAGGGGTCCTATCCTGTTGGATGAACTGCGACGAGCGAGTCTCTGAGAAGAGTAAGGCGTGAGGGCGGACTTTCGTCAACTTTGATGCTAAAAGTACTACTCGATCATAAATACTTACTACGCACTACAAATTGAAGCGGCAATACTCAGTAGTACTTTGGAAGAACAATCTGAATGAACTTGATTCTGACGCTCGTTTCCATCACCGTTGTCAACGACACCGCCTGTTGAACCGCCTATTATTTAGCGTAATGTAGACTTCGATCCCCAAAAGAATTAGAATTAAAAATTATTAAAACATTTACCAATATAACTGCTAATGATAAATAGAGGCGGCACGCAATTCATCACCTGCATAATCGCAGTGAAAATTGACCTGTGATGAATGTTGTGAAAAAGATGAAATGATATTTTCGTGTTCACAATATGGTTTACGTCGCATGGTATATTAATCTTCAGGGAACGTGTAGTAATTATAAACGATATTTAGTGGTTGAGATTTATGCTTGTCCGATTGGCCTTGAAATTTAAACAAAGTTCTTCCTGAGATTTTTGCTGTTTCTCGGCATTTTGACGATTTCTGTCTTTTCTGGATAGTATGTCACAGTATATTAGAAGC